AAGGTTGGACCAATCTTCCAAAAGCACATTTGTCAGGTCAGGCACTTGATGTCGGGGGAGGAGGCCCTGGCTCACATCTCCGCTTCTAATTCATCCCAAAGGTGTTCTATGGGGTTGAAGGTCAGGACTCTGTGCAGGCCAGTCAAGTTCCTCCACCCCAAACTGGCTCCTCCATGTCTTTTATGGGCCTTGCTTTGTGCACTGGGGGGGCAGTCATGTTGGAACAGGAAGGGGCGGTCCCCAAACTCTTCCCACAAAGTTGGGAGCATGAAATTGTCAAAAAGGTCTTGGAATGCTGACGCCTTAAGAGTTCCCTTCACTAGAACTAGGGGGCCAAGCCCAACCCCTAAAAAAAACAACCTCACACCATAATCCCCCCTCAAACCAAACGTTACACTTGGCACAATGCAGTCATGCAAGTACCATTCTTCTGGCAACCGCCAAACCCAGACACTTCCAGACAGATAAGCGTGATTCGTCACTTCAGAGAACACATCTCAACTGCTCTAGAGTCTAGTGGCGGCGTGCTTTACACCACGGCAATCCGACGCTTTGTATTGCACTTGATGTAAGGCTTGGATGCAGCTGCTCGGCCATGGAAACCCATTCCATGAAGCTCTCTACACACTGTTGTTGTGCTAATCTGAAGGCCACATCAAGTTTGGAGGTCTTTAGCTATTGACTCTGCAGACAGTTGGCGACTTCTGCGCACTGTGCGCTTCAGCATGTGCTGACCCCGATCTGTCATTTTACTTGCTGCTGAGTTGCTGTTGTTCCCAGTTGCTTCCACTTTGTTATAATACTACTAACAGTTGAGCGTGGAATATTTAGTAGCCAGGAAATGTCACGGATGGACTTATTGCACAGGTGACCACCTATCACGGGGACCACGCTTGGAGTCACTGAGCTCCTGAGAGCAACCCATTCTTTCACAAATGTTTGTAGAAGCAGTCTGCATGCCTACTTGATTTTATACACCTGTGGCCATGGAGGTGATAGGAACACCTCAATCCAATGATTTTGGAGGGCTGGTCCAATTCCTTTGGCAATGCAGTGTAAGACCTCCTAATGCAGGCCATAGATGGGTCAAAAAACGGCCATTTTTTTAACAAAAAAAAAAACAAAAAAATCAGTCGTTCAATAGGCCGACGTTACCACCAAACGGTAAAAACAATCGACCGATTTTTGTCCCGTCTACGGCCGGCATTTAATTACTTCTGTCCCTGCAGAGAGCTCCGCTATTATATTTGACATGAAAAAGTATTGCGGTTGCAACAATGTATCTATTTGTATCCATTTCAGATACAGATGGTTTTATTCGGATACAAATAGATACATTGTTTGCAACTGCAAGACTTTTCATATAAAATATAATAGCTGACTGGAATTCTTCTTCTTCTTTTTCTTCTTCTTCTTTTTCTTGGAGGTCACGGCTCATGCGCAGATTTTTTATCGGTAAAAAGATCGGCCCGATTTGCCCATCATTGCCGCGAAACTTTACCAAAAAATGTGCCAAATTCCAGAAAAATGGCCGAACAATTAACCCATTAATGGTGCGAAAATCGCCGATTTTGTTTTTCGGCCGCAAAATCAGCCGATTTTTGACCCATCTATGGCCTGCCTTGCCATCTGTTTTAAGCCTGAAAATGTCATCCCATTGCATTGCAACCATGTACAATGTACACAGTTGCAAGCCGGTTGCGACGCAGCCCCATTCACTTGCAGGGTTCAAGTTCAGTGGTGGCACCACCTGCCAAATTTGACATGCTGTTCAATTTTTGCCACGGTTGTGGCATGTGTACAGCCGTGAGCAGCTGCTTTCTTTCCGGTGGGTGGTCAGGGGGAGAGGAGACGTAAATCTGCCTGCTTTTACTGTCCCCCGACTTCCCATGTGAAGAAGCCCTAACAGTGAGTAGCCCTACCTACTCATCATATATTGAATAGGCTACATTGACACAAGTGGACATGGGCAGTCGCCAGCAAGAACCAGTAGATTCCTGCTGGTGGAGCTACATGCTGCATGCACATGGTACGTACGAACCGCAGCAGCTGTCATCAGCGGCTGACAGATTTATAGTCTGTAAATCAATGGGCTGCACCACCACTGTTTGGATGCAATCTCTCGTCTGCACGGTTACATGTGTCATTTTTACAGAGATATCTTGGCCCACACATAAACTGGCAACAGCTGATCAGACAGTTTGTATGTAGCCACCTCTAAAAGCAGCAACTATCCACCCCCAAAAGTAGATTGTACCGCAGGCACTGTCCAGATATTCTGACTGCCAGCACTAGCGGGTGTCAGAACTCAATAGCCTGGGAAGGGGGTTTCGAACATTTGAGTCATTTGTTTAGATGGAGTAATCTGTTAGATTTCTTTTATCCTGCCCACAGGCTGAACAAAGGAAATCTGTTAGTGTATGGCCAGCTTGAGCTCACACAGGCAGCTAACGAGCAGCCAGTTGATCCACGTTTTTTACCACTCCGCGACCACCTTATGTACAAATGAACATGATGACCGCTCAGGACTGTGTGCTTGGCCATGCTTCTTATGATTTTCTTCAGTCTATCATGAATGCTGCTGCCAGACTTATCCATCTTACTAACTGTTCCGTATCTGCCATCCCTCTCTGCCAATCCCTCCACTGTCCTCCACCCAGTGTCCTCCACCCCTCTCTTCCAATCTCTCCACTGGCCTCCATTCAGTGTACTCCACCCCTCTCTTCCAATCCCTCCACTGGCCTCCACTCAGTGTCCTCCACCCCTCTCTTCCAATCCCTCCACTGGCCTCCACTCAGTGTCCTCCACCCCTCTCTGCCAATCCCTCCACTGGCCCTCCACTCAGTGTACTCCACCCCTCTCTGCCAATCCCTCCACTGGCCTCCACTCAGTGTCCTCCACCCCTCTCTTCCAATCCCTCCACTGGCCTCCACTCAGTGTCCTCCACCCCTCTCTGCCATCCCTCCACTGGCCTCCACTCAGTGTCCTCCACCCCTCTCTGCCAATCCCTCCACTGGCCTCCACTCAGTGTCCTCCACCCCTCTCTGCCAATCCCTCCACTGGCCTCCACTCATTGTCCTCCATCCCTCTCTGCCAATCCCTCCACTGGCCTCCACTCAGTGTCCTCCATCCCTCTCTGCCAATCCCTCCACTGGCCTCCACTCAGTGTCCTCCATCCCTCTCTGCCAATCCCTCCACTGACCTCCACTCAGTGTCCTCCACCCCTCTTTGCCAATCCCTCCACTGGCCTCCACTCAGTGTACTCCACCCCTCTCTGCCAATCCCTCCACTGGCCTCCACTCAGTGTCCTCCCACCCCTCTCTTCCAATCCCTCCACTGGCCTCCACTCAGTGTCCTCCACCCCTCTCTGCCAATCCCTCCACTGGCCTCCACTCAGTGTCCTCCACCCCTCTCTGCCAATCCCTCCACTGGCCTCCACTCATTGTCCTCCATCCCTCTCTGCCAATCCCTCCACTGGCCTCCACTCAGTGTCCTCCATCCCTCTCTGCCAATCCCTCCACTGACCTCCACTCAGTGTCCTCCACCCCTCTTTGCCAATCCCTCCACTGGCCTCCACTCAGTGTACTCCACCCCTCTCTGCCAATCCCTCCACTGGCCTCCACTCAGTGTCCTCCACCCCTCTCTTCCAATCCCTCCACTGGCCTCCACTCAGTGTCCTCCACCCCTCTCTGCCAATCCCTCCACTGGCCTCCACTCATGTCCTCCACCCCTCTCTGCCAATCCCTCCACTGGCCTCCACTCATTGTCCTCCATCCCTCTCTGCCAATCCCTCCACTGGCCTCCACTCAGTGTCCTCCATCCCTCTCTGCCAATCCCTCCACTGACCTCCACTCAGTGTCCTCCACCCCTCTTTGCCAATCCCTCCACTGGCTTCCAATTGCCCAACGGATAAAATTCAAAACATTAATAATAACATATAAAGCCATTTATAACTCTGCCCCCAAATTACATCATCGATCTTGTCTCTAAATACCACCCAAACCATACTCTCCACTCCTCGCACGACCTCCTGCTCTCTAGCTCCCTTGTCTCCTCCTCCCATGATCGTCTCCAGGACTTCTCCAGAGCTTCCCCCATCCTCTGGAACTCTCTACCCCAATTTATCAGACTATTGCCTACTCTGCTCACTTTTAGGCGATCTCTGAGAACCTATCTCTTCAGGGAATCCTATCCTGCCCTCAGCTAAAAATGGAATCTTCTACTCTTCCTACCAGTCCATCCCCCACAGTTACTACGTTTTGTACCACTAGCCCCTCCCTCCTAGATTGTAAGCTCCCAGGATCAGGCCCTCCTATCCCTCTTGTATTGAACTGTATTGTTGCTGTATTGTCTCTCGTTATATTGTAAAGCGCTGAGCAAACTGTTGGTGTTATATAAATCCTGTATAATAATAATAATAATGTGGTAAGTTTGACTCGGCATGTCACGTTTGACAGGTGGTGCTGCTTAAATATCTAAATAATGCATCGCTAAAAGTAAAAGTAAATCTAAGAATAATAAAGTGATATATCAGAGCGCAAGAGTTGTGCGCTATAAGGTGAAAACAATGTGATGTCTTATTCAAGATGGTATATGATATGAGGTGACAATAGCGTATCATCTCATAAAGACAAATTATAATAACATAAACGCACAATGTAAACGCATATGAGTCCACAGTGAAATGTTGAGGCATTCACATGGTGTGTCAATACTCCAGAATCTGGGGGTACCGATCCCTCTTATAGGACTTGTATAAATAATAATAAAGTGCTCGTGACTTCCGTGGTATGGAAATAGAGGTGTGCTTGCACTCACCGGACGCACAATAATATTGCGCATGTAATAATCAAAAGGGCACTAGTGGTCATCTGGGAACCGATGGGGATGAGGCACTCCGATGGCGCTTGGTACACCCAGGGTTGGACTCCAGACCTCTCAGTGGAACCCTCTCAGCTTACAAGGACTGCTCCTTGGTATCACTTACACCCGGCATCAGGTTAGGTCAGCATCAAAAGAAATCCACCTTAAGTAGCTCAAAACAAGCCACCAGACAAAGATCTCAGGAAGGTAAGTGATCCGTATCCCAGATCTGTCCTGCGTTCAGCACATTCCTCCGCTTGCCAAACATGCTCTCTGAAGTTAATGGGGCCACACTGCAACCTCATGGCAAATGGTTAGGATGGTTAGGTATTTCAATGTAAAAAATCCCCCCTTGGGATCGGAAGGAAAAACAGGCATTCGGGAGGTGACAGTGTCACCATCTATCTATCTATATATCCATCTATCCTTCCATCTATCCTTCCATCTATCCTTCCATCTCTCTCTCTCTCTCTGTCTGTCTGTCTGTCTGTCTGTCTGTCTGTCAATCTAGTCGTATCTGACCCTTGGCGATTGCACATATCGTCACTCGTAAGCGACTTTTTCCATGAATTCTCTTAGCTATTATTTTTACAGGGTAGGTTGCCAGGTCTTTCCCCAGCCCCCACCATGCAGGAGATCCCACATGGCCAGGGATGATCACCTTCTGAACACCTACAGATTGCCGTAAAGTCCACAGCCCATGTAAAAGGGGCCTTACCCTTTCATGCAGTCCAAAGCTTGCATTCATCCGAACTTTTCCTACTGACTCATCATTTCCGTCTCCATTTGTTTATTGGCATATCATGATCTATCTGTAATTTCCTCATTTTCTGAGCTTCTCAGGTCTGTGGTGTGCACATTATGAAAGGCTCTCAGCATCACTTTGATGAGTTTTTGGGTCTGCATACTTGCTGTGCCTATTACGAGGGACTCCCACCATCTCTGTGCTAAGTTCAGATGGTTTCCGGGTCTGTACACCTGCTGTGTTCATTACAAGGGATTCCCACCATCCCTGTGCTGAGTTCCCGGGTCTGTACACCTGCTGTGTTCATTAGTAGGGGTTCCCACCATCCCTGTGTTGAGTTCCTGGGCCTGTACACCTGCTGTGCCCATTATGAGGGGTTCACTTGCTATCCCCTCCAACGCTCACCTCCGGGACTTCTCCAGAGCCTCGCCCATCCTCTGGAACTCCCTGCCCCAGTATGTCCGTTCACCTTTAGGCGAGCCTTGAAACCACATTTAATCAGGGAAGCCTACCCCACCTCCACCTAAGAACTGTACTTGAGTCACCTTCATCAGATCATCCCCCGCAGCTATCACCTTTTGTACCACCTCCCCCTTCCTTTAGATTGCAAGCTCCATGAGCCGGGCCCTCCTATTCCTTCTGTACTGAAATGTATTGTAATTGTACTGTCTCCCTTATATTGTAAAGTGCTGCACAAACCTTTGGCGCTATATAAATCCTGTACAATAATAATCCAAAAATGTCTATGTGAAGTTCAGATGTCTTTACACCTGTTGGGCCCATTATGAGCGGCTCCCGCTATACTTATGTGGAGTTTCCGGGTCTGTAGACCTGCTGTGCCCATTATGAGGGGACTCTCACCATCCCTGCTGGATTTTGTATTTATTTTCGCTTATGAAGGATGTAACAGGAGGAACACACAAAGTGGACGGAACACCCAAAATCCCCAGGTGGACAGGAGCACAGTCCTTTGAATCCCCATGGCACCTTAACAGACAATGGAAGGAGGGTCATGTGCAATATGAGTTATGAGATCCAAGCGGTCAATCACAGGATGGTAACAATGATGTAAAGGGGGGGCTGAAGACCAACACGGAGGGGATGGGAGGACTGAAGACTCTTAAATGAAGGGGATGGGAAAAGACACAGCAGAAGGGGGGAACTTAAGGAATCAGATATGAATCAGGGGCTTGGAATTCTGATATGAAAGGAGGAGACTGAGGACTCTGATGTGAACAGTAGAGACTAAGGACTCTGATGTGAACAGAGGAGACTGAGGACTCTGATGTGAACAGAGGAGACTGTGGACTCTGATGTGAACACTAGAGACTGAGGACTCTGATATGAAAGGAGGAGACTGAGGACTCTGATGTGAACAGAGAAGACTGAGGACTCCAGGGGTGGACTGACAACTCATGGGGCCCCCGGGCAATAGGGGACCATGGGGCCCCTGTGTCCTTGCCCAAACCCAAAAAAACCTATGAAAAAGCCAATGAAAGGTACCAGGTGCATCTCATGGGGCCCCCTACTGACCCCAGGCCCTCGGGCAATGCCCTAGTGTTCGAATGGTCAGTCCACCCCTGGATATGAAAGGAGAAGCCTGAGGACTCCGATGTGAAAGGAGGAGACTGAGGACTCTGATGAGAACAGAGGAGCCTGAGGACACTGATATGAAAGGGGAAGCCTGAGGACTCCAATGTGAAAGGAGGAGACTGAGGACTCTGATGAGAACAGAGGAGACTGAGGACACTGATGTGAAAGGAGAGGGAGGGGTGACCTGAGAATTCTGATATTCCAGAAGGGAACTGAAGGGGGTCCGGAACTGAAGACTTTGATGTGAAAGGAAGGGACCCAGGATTCTGATGTTAAAGTGGTTGTAAAGGTTGAAGGTTTTTTACCTTCATGCATTCTATGCAGCAGTGCCCCCACCCCCTCAATACTTACCTGAGCCCCATCGTGATCCATCGATGTGCACGACAGCCTCAGCTGTCCTGGGATTCTGCCTCCTCATTGGCTGAGACAGCAAGCTGGAGCCATCGTCTGTCAATCTCAGCCAGCCAGCCAATGAGGAGAGAAAGGGAGGGGCCAAGCCACAGCTCTGTGTGTGAATGGACACAGGGAGCAACGGATGCCCCCATAGCAAGCTGCTTGCTATGGGGGCACCCGACAGGAGGGAGGGGTCAGCAGAACCTGCGGGAGACCCGAGAAGAGGAGGATCCAGGCTGCTGTGTACAAATCCACTGCACACAGCAGGTAAGTATAACATGTTTGTAATTTTCCAAAAAAAAAAATGAACCTTTACCCCCGGTTCACATATATGCGGCAGTGCGGGCCACGTTTTGCGCGGACACAAGAGCCCATTCATTTGAATGGACTCCCATGCCCTGTGACACGCAGGGAAGAAGTCCCTGCACTTCTTATGAAAACGCAGCCCGCACAGGAACCTCAGTTCCCAGTACAGTTGCGTTTTCCAGTGCGGGCGGCTTGCCATTAGAACATATGGCACCCGCCCGCGGGTCCGCATTCCTCTGTGTGGGTGATTTTCCTGCGGATCCGCAGCGGCACCACTTCAATAGCCTTTCCTACCAACCATGTAAAACATTACACCTAAACAAAGCCATGTGATGCCTGGAAAAGGACCCTTGAGCAGTGAGAATGATAACAAGGTCTTCTCCAGCGATCACTCCTCGGGAGCACCGCTCTGGTTGACCATAAGCGCTGTATTCTGTATATTCCCGCAAAACAGAAAGATCTTTATTGCGTGCGTTCGTGCGTCAGCGGACAATTCTATTACCGTGTAATAATTTACTAGCCCATCTTGTTAGTCGCACTGATGGATGCATTTATCTCCTGGTTACGGGTAGTTCTGCTCCCAGACACTAATGAAAAGATAAAAGTATGGGCTGTAATGAGATTTAGATTTGCAAGGTGTTGCTGTTAATTGTCACTCTAGGTTTCTTCCTGTTTAATTAATTTGACTGCGGGCACTTACAGGAGACATACATACGTGCACTATTACCCATCATTGCGTCGGAGGGAACGCGGCTACGGCACGGCTTACCTAAGCATTGCTATGTACAATTGCAAGAAAAAGTATGTGAACCCCTTGGGATTACGTGGAGTTTTGCATGAATTGGGCATAAAATGTGCTCTGAACGTCATCTAAGTCACAACAATAGAAGAACACAGTCTGCTGAACATAATAATACTACACAAACATTAGATGTTGCCATGGTTTAATTGCACATAACATGTAGACATTCACAGTGCAGGGAGGAAAAAGTATGTGAGGCCCTAGCTTAATGACTTCTCCCAGAGCTAATTGGAGCCAGGAGTGAGCCAACCTGTGTTCTTCTATTGTTGTGACTTAGGCCGGCCATAGACGGGTCGAAAATCGGCCGATTTTTTTCTTTTAAAAAAACGAAAAATCGGTTGTTCAAGCGGCCGACGTTACCAGCAATGGTAAAAAAAATCGATTTTCATCCCGTCTACAGCCAGCAAAAGTGTCCCTGCAGAGAGCTCCGCTATTTCTTCTGACAGTTCCTTGACATTTTATAGCGGTTGCAACAATGTATCTATTTGTATAATATTTAGGATACAGATGTTTTTATTCGGAAACAAATAGATACATTGTTGCAACCTCTATAAATGTCAAGGAACTGTCAGAAGAAATAGCGGAGCTCTCTGCAGGGACACTTTTTGCCGGACTGGAATTCCTCTTCTTCTTCATCCTCTTCTTCTTCATCCTCTTCTTCTTCTTCTTCATCCTCTTCTTCTTCATCCTCTTCTTCTTCATCCTCTTCTTCATCTTCCTCTTCTTCATCTTCCTTTTCTTCTTCATCCTCTTCTTCATCCTCTTCTTCTTCTTCTTCCTCTTCTTCTTCCTCTTCTTCATCCTCTTCTTTCTTTTTTCTTCTTCTTTTTGTCTTCCTCTTGCAGGTCACTGCTCATGCGCGCAGATTTTTTTATCGGTTAAAATATCGGCCGATTTGCCCATCATTGCCGCGAAAATCGCCGCCGAACGGCAAAATCGGCCGATTTTTTTCCAACTTTACCGATAAAAAAAATCTGCCAAAATACCGAAAAACGGCCGACCATTTAGCCCACTACCGATCCGAAAAATCGGCCGATTTTATTTTCGGCCGAAAAAATCGGCCGATTTTCGACCCATCTATGGCCTGCATTAGATGACGTTCAGAGCACATTTTATGCCCAATTCATGCAAAACTCCACGTAATCCCAAGGGGTTCACATACTTTTTCTTGCAACTGTACATTGAGACGTAGGACGGGAGTATTAAAGGAAACCCGTCATTATGGGTGAAAGGAACAAATGAGCTCCTGACTAGTGATCCAAAACCCCCAAATTCTGCAATGCCTGAACCATACTATTTCGTATACGCTGAAAAAACAATTCAAGGAACACTTTTTACTCAGAGTATAGTATCAAGTCAATGAAACTCCAGGGCTATTGATCTGGTCAGTTAAGTAGCACAGGGCTTTGTTAATCACTTTCAGCTGCTTTGGTGTTAATGAAATCAACAACAGGTGCACTGGACGGGCAACAATGAGACGACCCCCCAAAACAGAAAAGGTTTTACAGGTGGAGGCCACTGATATTTGTTTCCCTACTCATCTTTTCTGTTTTTCACTAGTTTTCCATTTGGCTAGCGTCCGTGTCACTACTGGTAGCATGAGGCAATACCTGGACCCTACAGAGGTTGCACAGGCAGTCTAACTCCTCCAGCATGGCACATCAATACATGCCATCGCCAGAAGGGTTGCTATGTCTCCCAGCACAGTCTCAAGAGCATGGAGGAGATTCCAGGAGACAGGCAGTTCCTCTAGGAGAGCTAGACAGGTTCGTAGAAGGTCCTTAACCCATCAGCAGGACTGGTATCTGCTCCTTTGTGCAAGGAGGAACAGGATGAGCACTGGCAGAGCCCTACAAAATGACCTCCACCAGGCCACTGGTGTGAATGTCTCTGACCGAACAATCAGAAACAGACTTCATGAGGGTGGCCTGAGGGCCCGACATCCTCTAGTGGGCCCTGTGCTCACTACCCAGCACCATAGAGCTTGATTGGCATTTGTTCAACCCCAGAATTGGCAGGTCCACCACTGGCACCCTGTGCTTTTCACAGATGAGAGCAGGTTCCCCCTGAGCACATGTGACAGACATGAAAGGGTCTGGAGAAGCCAAGGAGAACGTTCTGCTGCCTGTAACATGGTTCAGCATGACTGTTTTGGAGGTGGGTCAGTGATGGTCTGGGGAGGTAAATCCATGGAGGGACGCACAGACCTCTACAGGCTAGACAATGGCACCCTGACTGCCATTAGGTATCGGGTGAAATCCTTGGACCCATTGTCAGACCCTACACTGGTGCAGTGGGTCCTGGGATCCTCCTGGTGCAGTGGGTCCTGGGTTCCTCCTGATGCAGTGGGTCCTGGGTTCCTCCTGGTGCAGTGGGTCCTGGGTTCCTCCTGGTGCAGTGGGTCCTGGGTTCCTCCTGGTGCAGTGGGTCCTGGGTTCCTCCTGTTGCAGTGGGTCCTGGGTTCCTCCTGGTGCAGTGGGTCCTGGGTTCCTCCTGGTGCAGTGGGTCCTGGGTTCCTCCTGTTGCAGTGGGTCCTAGGTTCCTCCTGTTGCAGTGGGTCCTGGGTTCCTCCTGGTGCACGACAATGCCCGGCCTCATGTGGCAAGATTATGCAGGCAGTTCCCGGAGGATGAAGGAATTGATACCACTGAATGGCCCCCACACTCAGCTGACCTAAATCCAATAGAACACCTCTGGGATATCATGTTTCGGTCCATCCCCCCCCCCCCCCCCCTCACAGGTTGCACCTCAGACTGTCCAGGAGCTCAGTGGTCCAGATCTGGGAGGAAACACCCCAGGACACCATCCGTCGTGTCACCAGGAGAATGGCCCGATATTGTCAGGCATCCATACAAGCACGTGGGGGCCATACGAACTACTGAGGACCATTTGAAATTTTTTGCAAAATGGACTTGCCTGCTGTATCATTTTTTTCACTTTGATTTTCGGGTGTATTTGAATCCAGTCCTCTGTAGGTCGATCATTTTCATTTCCATCAAACGATGGGGGCGTCCTTACATTCCCAACACATTACCCGTCCATGTCAGTATAGAGATCCAGCAGGAGATTTTTCCCCATTGAGATCTGATGGGTTTTCAAAGTGTTCCTTTCATTTTTTTTGAGCAGTGCATGTTGCTGGTGTAAGAATATCCCAACCTTATTCCACACTTCTATGCACGGTGCCTCTTGAAAGACTGTTGATCCCCAAATACATTCCTGGGATGGTCTTGAAAGTGACTGCAGAGCTCAGCCTCAGTCCCAAACTGAGATTGAGCTCTGCAGTCCCTTTTGCAGCAGTTGTTTTCTTATTCCGGGTCAAATTTTTTCTTGGTTAAAAAAAAGTCCAAAACGCCGGTTTGTGGCATTTTACCGCGTTTTTTCAGTGTTAGAGCGTTTTTACAGCTACAAAACTTCTCTAGAAACCCACTAGTCCTGGGTTTTTTTTTCCAGCCAAAAAACGTCCCTGCCAAAAAACATTGATTTCCAGTCTATGTGTGTATGGACACATAGGATAACATGCTGGGAATGGACACATAGGATAACATGCTGGGAATGGACACATAGGATAACATGCTGGGAATGGGACACACAGGAGAACATGCCGGGGATGGACACATAGGATAACATGCTGGGAATGGACACATAGGATAACATGCCGGGGATGGACACACAGGAGAACATGCCGGGGATGGACACATAGGAGAACATGCTGGGGATGGACACATAGGAGAACATGCTGGGGATGGACACATAGGAGAACATGCTGGGGATGGACACACAGGATAACATGCTGGGGATGGACACATAGGAGAGAACATGCCGGGGATGGACACATAGGAGAACATGCTAGGGGGATGGACACATAGGAGAACATGCTGGGGATGGACACATAGGAGAACATGCTGGGGATGGACACACAGGATAACATGCCGGGGATGGACACATAGGAGAACATGCCGGGGATGGACACCTAGGTGAACACGCCAGGGATGGACACATAGGAGACCGTGCCGGGGATGGACACATAGGAGAACGTGCCGGGGATGGACACATAGGAGAACGTGCCGGGGATGGACACATAGGAGAACACGCCGGGGATGGACACGTAGGATAACATGCCGGGGATGGACACGTAGGATAACATGCCGGGGATGGACACGTAGGATAACACGCCGGGGATGGACACGTAGGATAACACGCCGGGGATGGACACGTAGGATAACACGCCGGGGATGGACACGTAGGATAACACGCCGGGGATGGACACGTAGGAGAACACGCCGGGGATGGACACGTAGGATAACACGCCGGGGATTGACACGTAGGATAACACGCCGGGGACGGACACGTAGGATAACACGCCGGGGATGGACACGTAGGATAACACGCCGGGGATGGACACGTAGGATAACACGCCGGGGATGGACACGTAGGATAACACGCCGGGGATGGACACGTAGGATAACTCCTAACCACTAGTAGAAAAAATGCTCAGAATTAGCATTTTGTTTCTGCCATTTTTTCAAGCTAGTGTGCATAAAGACTTAGGCTCCATGTACACTAGCCTACCCTGACCGCATCCACGGAAAAATGCAAAATACGTCAAAAACGCATGTAAACGCAATACTCCAATCCTGAGCACAATTCTTTCTGCATTCAGTAGAGGAAGGTTTAACCTCACCTTAATGTGGCAGCTGCTAAACTCTGCTAAAAGCCCGTGTGTACATGGACGCACACGTAGGCATTTATGGAGTCGAGTTCAGGAGCTTTTGGCAAAACAAAACCGTAAAAAGAATCAGAACTGCTACAGTGGTGCAGAGACGGAACTCGGCTGTTTACCTTAGGTGATCTGTTGCTCCTCGGTGACGGGTTAGTCCGGTAAACTTGTCAAACTTGTCTGTCTCTGCAACTTTGTATCAGTTCCACCTGCAGTTGCTGCTTCACACTGTCAGCCCGTGTTCACACTGATGCGGTGCGGACTTCGCAGCGTTTTCAGTGTGAATTCCATACCGCATCAGAATCGCACCCCGTTCATGCGAACCGTAGCGGGTGTGTATGCTAAGTTAACAACACCTTGAAATTGGTCCGCAATTGGTCCGCAAAACACGGTGCGATGTACAGAATCTGATCACATAGTTGTGAATACTCATGCAATCTGATTCTAGTGCAGACCCAAAAAAAGAGTCCTGCATGTTTTTGGTGCGAGTGCGGTGTGAATAGAGCCATACATAATGTATGGCTCCGATTGCACCACGCAAAAATCGCATGTGATTTGCACAGGAATGCAGTGCAGTTCCTGTGTGAATCACATGCGACATACCGCACCACACATATGTGAACCGGGCTTTGGAGCAAATGCCCTTGCAGAATGCACAGTCTATTTGCCTTTAGTACACCATCTCCATTGTCTCTAAGGTCCCATTCAGAAATCACATTGCGGAAACGAGCTATACTGCATGCGATTCTGAAAGATCAATATACACGCTTTTTCCTTGTGTTGTGCATGGGGGAGCCCATTCATTTCAATGAGCTGGCCTATGTGCGTTTGTCAAGAAGCTCCTGCTCCCTGTTGTCAACAGGCTGTAGCACAATTGTTAATACTTTCCCGCCCGGGGCCTTGGCAGTGCCCGAGTACTCAAATGGTCAGTCCCGCCCATTGCTCGTGCCCCATCAGACTTTAATTCAGTCACCCTCCCTGAAGATTCCCCCCCCCCTTCCTTTCCAGGCCACTTTTTGCGTTATGGCGCTGCGTTACTTTCACTGACAATTGCGCAGCGGCTGCTCATATGCAAACGCGTGCACCCAAATGAAATTTATATCCTGTTTTTCCCACAAACATGAGCCTTTTTCTTTTGGAGTTTTTGGAATTGGATCACCTCATGCATTTTTTTTTATTTTTTGCGCCAAAAAAAAAAAGACTTTGAGAAATTTTGAGAAAAAAAACAATAATTTTAACCTTTTTGCTATAAAAAATGTCCAGTAAAACAAAATGTAACAAATCTAAATTTTCCTCATAAAGTTTAGGCCAAAATGTATTCTGTTCTGGACATGCCTTTGCTAAAAAAATCCCAATACGTGTAAAAATCAATTGGTTTTAGTGATGAAAGTTATAGAGTCTACAAAGGGCAGTATAGGTATGGGAATTATTATACAATTATTTTTTTTTTTTTTTTACTAGTAATGGTGGCGATCAGGGGACTTAATATATATATATACAGTGGGGGATCGAAAGTTTGGGCACCCAGTCTAATAAATTTGTATTAATGTGCATAAAAGAAGCCAGGAAAGCATGGAAAAATCTCCCAAAGGCAATCAAAATTACAGATTAGGACATTCTTATATTTTCAACAAAAGTTAGATTATTTCCTTAATTTACACTTTCAATATAAAGTAAACAAAAAATGGCGTTTCGTATGCAAAAGTTTGGGCACCCTGGCAGAGTTAATATCTTGTACTGCCCCCTTTGGCAAGTTCACAGCATTGTAATCGCTTTCTTTTTGTAGCCCAGCCAAGAGTCTTTTCAATTCTTCAATTCTTGTTTGAGGTGATCTGTTGCCCATTCTTCCTTAAAAGTCTTCCAGTTCTTTGAGATTTCTGGGGCTTTTGGGCTGTCACGCACTGCCTTTTTTAAAGGGGAATAATTAAAATTATGGTGTTTTGAATGGTTTTAAAGGGGATGTGAGGAAAACCCTTTAGTTTACGCCCCTTTTAGTAAACCCCCGTGGATTTCAGGTGTGTTTAGGATCATTATCCCTTTGTAGAAGCCATCCTCTCTTTAACTTCGCTTTTTCCCCAGATGGCATCAAGTTCCATCCCAAAAATTTGCTGAAATTTTTTGAATCCATTTTTTCTTCTATCCCGGAGATTTCCCTGTACCCGGCTGCAACACAACCCCCAAAGCTGATTGATTAACCCTATGCTTTAACTTGGACAGAGGTTCTTTTCATTAAATTTTGTGCCCCTTCTTCCCAACATTCCTTTTTTCATTCTGGGCCAAAAAATTCAATTTTAACCTCAGGTCACAGAATTGC